GGGGAAACAGCCCAATGAGCATCACTGCAGAGGAGCCAATCAGCTAGATATTTCTGGGGCTGCTGTGAGTCAATCATCAGCTGGCAGTCTGAAAGTTTGCTGGGGCCCCTTTGGCTGTGGCTCTCAACAGAAGTCTCTAGGTCTAGCTCACACTCAAGTGGGGTGCTTATGCACCGCTGCTGATTCCAGGACTTGGGATCACTGGAAGCCATCTGAGAAGCTGCCTGCCACAAGGGGCATAACCAGGATCAGACTTTGTCAAAAAAGAAATGTCTGGCAGATAAAACACCTGCATAAAGAGAATGTATGTTTCTAATTTCACTTGTTCATGTTGAACACTACGTTAAAAACGCAGGTCTTTAAAAGTTGAAAAGGTGATCTATGAAAAAGACATGGTGAAGGAGGCTAATAGGTTGGAAAAGAAAAAACGAGGACCCAAGAGAAAACAATTATATAAGGAAGGTCTGTGCCCATAAACTACACCTTTTATTTAAACATTTGAATGATTTCAAAAGACTCCAAGAGATAGTGCCAGAAAAATAGAGTAGATAAACTGTTGCTTAAAGACAACATAAAGTTCTAAGACATTTGACTGTCTCCACCCACCAATAAATATTTGTAAAGGGGATAAAGCAATACTTGATGTCTGAATGTACTATTGCAAGAAACACCTACCAAGAAACACTATTGCAAGGCTCCTTTATATTTAAGATGGGAAAATTATATTTTCAAGGACTGTTTCTTTAAAAGGAGGAATCAAAAGGAGGAAGAAAAATCACAATGCTGGGGGTAATTTCTTTAGGAAAAACCATCTCTAATCTAGACAGGTGGGGTGATCTGGCTCCTATCCATCTGTCAGGTCTTTCTTCCCCCACTGACGGCTAGGTGCACCTACTCCTCCCTAAATTAATTTCATTCAGATGCTACTCAAATGTCACTCCACCCAGAAAGACTTCCCTGACCAACATCTGAAATAACATCCACTTACCCCATCCTCTTACTCTGTTTTAATTTTTCTTTATACCAAGTATCACATTCCAAAATTATAATATGGCTTTATTTCTTTAGCTTTTTATTAATCTGACTCCCCGGGGAGTAAAGCTTGAAGAACTTTAGCTCACAGCTGTGGGACCTGGAAAAACAGTCACTGACTCTTATCAATGTCTGTTGAGTGAAAGCAAAAGCAGTGAAGCTCATAAAAAAGAAGAAAAAAATCTGATAAACAGTAACAGAGAATGGGAGAAAATGTGAAGAACAATGACAGTTTGGTAGAAATGTACCAATACAATCTTTGCTTAAGGGAATATTTATATTTATGCGTAATGAATTAAAAAAAATCCCTACTCAAATGTATTTGCAACATTTTGGACAGCACTTAAGTCTGCCCCATTTTTCTAATTCTGTAGCACAGCAACTCTCATTTCTCAGTGAGATGACTAATTTCTGGGGATCCTCAGGAAGGGGACAGTGTTCGGCCCCCCTTTTTTATAAAAATGTATTCTTGTCGCTATTTGACTGGCTGTGCCTCCCTGTTTCCTCTCTGTTATTGGTCCGTCTCCCTGTCCATCACTTCCGGATCCAAGCACTCTATTGGTCCGCTATTGCAGACCGCCGGCAGCTGGCTCCGCTCAGGCAGGAGGAGTTCCCCGGTGACGTCAAGGGCGCTCCCCGCCCACATTCCAAGGCATGGGCGGAGACTTCTCATGGCTCTGCCTTTGTGGGCGGTACAAGGCGGAGAGAAAGACTTCTGATTGGGCCCAGCGGTGAGCCGAACATCCTATTGGTCCCTGGCCTGGAAGGAGGTGGGGTCGCAGCTGGATCCTGGAGCTAAGCGGAGAACCCCAGGGGACTCTGAAAGTTTGTGTCTGGAGCGGTAGTGGGAAGTGGGCTTACTGCGAAGGGATTTTCTTGGGAAGTGAGCTGACTTCATTTTGAATGCACATCCCACTTTAACCCCTGCAGCCTCCGGTCCGAGCCGTGGACGGCTGGCGTCCTCTGGGGATTCTCGGATCTCCGAGAACACTGGACGGGAGCCCGGGGCGGTTCTCTCTCAGGCAGGGAAGCAGACGTTTTCCTGTCTAAGAACACAAACGACTCGTAGACGCGCACACGCACCACACGCGAGAAAGGAATCTCGCTGCTTCCAGGCGGCTCCGCCCGGTCCCCTCCTGCCCTCAGCATCCTCGGCCCAGCGCGGATCCGATCACCATGGAGGTGCTGGAGAGCGGGGAGCAGAGCGTCCTGCAGTGGGACCGCAAGCTGAGCGAGCTGTCAGAGCCCGGGGAGACCGAGGCCCTCATGTACCACACGGTGAGGACTCTCGGCGGGGGCAGGGTGGCTTTTCAAGGGGGAGGTGATGTTATCAGAGGAACAGCTGGAGACCTGCGAAGTGGGAAAACAGTGTCTGGGAAAGGGCATGGCCAGAATAAAGAAGTCTGGAGAGAGGAGTAGTTTTTCTGTTCTTACAGCTAAAGGTGCACACAGGGCCCTTTAAAACTCTCCTAAGAATAATGACACTTTGTATTCCGTTAGCTATCTGTACTTTTCTCCTGCGGCCTTTTCATATCCGTAATACTATTTCCTATTGCTAACGATACTGTGGGAGGAGGGGGATGTGTTTTGAGAATAACATGCTGCCGCCTAGTTTGCTATTGATTTTTGTGGGAAGGTTTTTTTTGTTTGTTTGTTTGTTTTGTTTTTTTAAACGGGACAAGCTAAAGTAGCATTTTCTTTCCATCTGTCTCATATTCTCCCTCCCTCCCTCTCACCCTTTATTTGCATTTTAAAAAGTACACGTGTGCACATGTATGTGTTGGAAAGCCTCCTCTCCATTAGGAGGAAGGCTGCTTGCTTTATTTGGCTTTTTAGACTGTACTGCCAAGAAATCTGCTTCCTCCCTCTTTAGAGGAAAGATCAGTATGGAAAATCTGAGGCAGTTACATATTTCAAAAGGACTTTGAGGAAGGTGGGATAGCTCACCTTCCCTGTATGCCTCAGAGACTAAGCTGTCACAGAGCAAGCACATTTCTTTTAATGTTTCAATTTCAACTTTTTTGATATTAAATTTGCAAATTGGAATTTTGTTTCTGATAGCCAGCACTGATCATATGCCTTTGTTGGAGATATCTTTATCTCTTTGTTTCTTTTGTAGACATGTAGAAGTTTGTAATGAGAGAGGGAAAGCAAACACTAATGAGAAAAGGAGAGACTTGGCTGCTTTCCCTCTACGGTTCTTTTAATGGGGTCAGTGCCACGATATTTGAAACTTTTGTAAAATGGCCTGCAGGCTCCACGGAGCCTCTTTGGCCTTTGCCTCTGACTGACGTTATTTTGGGAAAAGGGTTGAGGGCCTCCCTGCTGATTCCCACCAAAGTGGTTGAGGTAGCTGAGAGGGGCTTGTTTTAAAAACCCAGAATGTAGGGCTGAGAGGGAGTGGTAGTTCATGCTGGGGTAAAAGCCAGATGTTCAGTGTGATCTGGGCTTTGCTCATTGAGCCTGTCCCAAGGAGACCATGTGGGCTGTATTTGGAATGGAGCTCAGATGTGTTTCCTGACCTCCATAAAGAACTTGGATTTTGGCCCTCAACTATCTTCTGAGTCTTGGGTGCTCCAGATGTTCATACTGACATGAGCTACATTTTAACCATGTATGGAATGGAAGCTATTCTCTTTTGTTCTCCTACATACTGTTCTATTACCAGGAAAATGTCTCATCTAGCTGCTATAATGCACAGATTTGGGGTTGTTTTTTAGCTGGTGGGACCCTGTGGCTTGCATTGTGAGATCACAGGTCAGGGTTTGAGATGGTGCTGTGACTGTGGCGTTAACTTCAGGACCAGACAAACAGCTTGGACTGACTCTAATGTCTTTCTGCACAGTTTCGGGGGTAGACAGCTTACATTCCTTTTGATATGAATAGCTCAGGTTTTCTCTGTCATGGTGGTAAAGCAGTAATGTGGGATGATTTTTCTACTAATCCTTTTTAAAATGACTCTTTATGTTCTCTACTTAGATAAGTGTCTCCCTTCTGAACAGCTCACACATGAAAAGCTGCTCATTGCTGCAAGTGATTGCAACTAGCTGTGCATACATGAGTCAGTGTTGAAAGAGGCATTGGATTTAGTAGCATAGACCATTGGATTACAGTCCTTTGAACTAAGAGATATTTGGTAGAGATTTGAAAGTATATAACGTTCCCATTTGTTTCCTGAACTCTTTTTGGGTATCCAGTTATTATTGCCATTTATCTGTAACATGGGGTGACCTGACCTCCAGCTGAATCTACATGTGGAAAAAAGATGGCCTGATGTGATTACATGTGTATTCACAGGTATATTTATTCTTTAAATTAATATTTATTGAATATCTTATATGTGCCAGACACTATTCTAAGCACCTGGGATACATCAGTGAACACAAGCAGACAAAAATCCTGACCTTGAGTAGCTTACATTCTAGTATGTGTGTGTGTGTGCATGTGCGTGTGTGCATATGTGGGTGTGCACACGTGTGTGCATGCTCATATGTGCAAACTTAGGAAAGAATAAATAATAAATGATAAACAGAGAAGCAAAAAAGTATGTTAAACAATATAAGTGCTATGGAAAAAGTAAAAGTAGAACAGGATATTGGGGATAGAGAGTTCAAGAGAAAGGAATGGCAAAACATGGTATGGAAATAAGTTAGCATAATGAGTCTTTTGCACAAAGATTTGAGACAGGTAAGAGTGTTGTCTTGACAGGATGAAAAACCAGGCAAAGGCCAGAAGGTGAAAGCACATCTGGTATGAGCTGATAATAACATCCTCTAATGTTTTAGATTTCCCCATTTTGGTGAGTTCTTTTTCTTGAAAATACAGGTTACTTCTAAGACACCAGTGCCTGTTTTGGCAATGACCCAGCGAAACTTTCCAAATTCAGTGGATTGGGCCTGGTACAGGGAGAGGAGAGCCTGCAGTGAGCAGACAGGTGTAAGCTGGGAAAGTGTTTAGAGGTGGTGATGGCCACCATCTGTGGAGTGCCACTCTCCCTAGGGGGAGGGATGCCTGCACACACCTGCTCACTCTCTAGCCCCTCAGGTCTCCACTCTTGGTTGGATGCTCTGATTTATTTTGCCATCTTGAAATTCTGACTCAGTTTTGAACAGGGGATCCACGTTTTCATTTTGCTCTGGTTCCCTAAATTATGTTGCTGGTCCTGCTAAAAGACATTATGTTTAGTGCTTTATGTCATTTATCCCTCTCCATGACTCAATGAGAGAGCCATCTTTATTCTCATTTTACATATAAGAAAACCAAGGTTTAATGAGTTTAAGCAACTTGGCTCAGGCCCCACAGCTAATCAGTGACACAACCAGGTTTCCCTGATTCAAAACCAGGTTTCCCTGCCTCCAAAGCCCAAGTTCTTGCCCATCATGCTGTAGGAATGGGGAATCCTGACCTAAAGATAAGTATCTGAATAAGAGATTGGGAGAGAATGACTGGGATACACAAACTGCTGAGCTCGAAAGCAGCTAATGTTTAACCAGGGCTGACGATGGCAGCCACCAAACCTTAGTGTGATCCCTCTCACTGTTCTAAAGAGGGATTTGGTTACCACATACATGATTGCTAAAGCTCTGTTTTAGCAAACCTGTCACATACCTGATTTCAAAAATGTTCAAGTCGCCCAAGGCTGGGATTATAACGTTTCTCAGGTGCCTTCTGTGAGCCATCAAGAGCAATGTTTTTCTCATTTGGTTAGTTATGAAGTCTTTTGGTTCACAAGGACAAAGGCTTAGAGGAAACAGATTGAAAGTCTACAAAATAACAAAGCACACGAATGGGGTAAAAATGGACTTGCTCACCAGACCCTGAATTTCTAAAGCTGGGCTACTTCTTAAAGCTTAAAGAAGTTCTCAGGGCTGGAGTAGCTTGGTGATAGGGCATGTGCTTAGCAACCTGGAGGCCCAGGTTCAGTCTCTAGCAACACACACACACACACACATATGCACACACACACACAGCAGGTTCAGAAAAGAGATTTGAAAACGAGGAACATCTTAAGATTTGATATCATTGTGAGATACCTTGCCTCTTTTTCCAAGGATGTTGGGAATTTTTAACATTCATGTTGTGTTCCTGTAATATCTGTGCAAATTTCATTTCTGGGAATTCTCTGTGGACCTTTGCAGTTTAAAAAGCAATATATTCTGTACATTTTATCTGTGTGTATATAATTTTTATATTTATTTTTTGGTTGTAGTTGGACACAATACCTTTATTTAATTTATTTATTTATATGTGGTGCTGAGGATGGAACCCAGGGCCTCTCATGCGCTAGGCGAGTGCTTCACTGCTGAGCCACAACCCCAGCCCCATTATCTGTATATATTATATATGCACAGACTATGTCTGGAAGGATGCTCAGGAAGTGGATAACTGATTGTTTCTGGGAAGGTGATTTGGGGAACTGGAGGTCAGGAGAGGGAGGGAGGGAGGAGGCTCAGCTATACATTATGCCCTTTGATACTGTTCAATCTTGATCTCCCAGATGTGTTTAGAAAGTGAAGAAATTATAATTTACAGGCTGAAACTGGACTAGAGAAAATTTTAATCTGACTCTCCTTGGGGGGAAAAGGGACTTTAGTGCTGTATTAAAACTCAATGCTACACAAGTTTCTGGAGCCCTTGGATAGAGAGTAGGGGAAGTGGGAATGCTTGGTAGAAAGAGGCCCTCTGGGTGGTAGTTGACAGGGGGCTTGTGTTGGATAAATCTCATTAACTTGATGTTTTAGTCAGCTTTTTGCTGCTGTGACCACAAGACCTGACAAGAATGATGAGAGGAGGAAAACTTTATTTTGAGGCTCACAGTTTCAGAGGTCTGAGTCCATAGAAGGCTGGCTCCATTCCTTGGGGCTCAAGGTGAGGCAGAACATCCTGATGGGTGGGTATGGCAGAGGAAAGCAAGTCAGGGCATGGACACCAAGAAGCAGAGAGAGCAAGAAAGACTTCACTTGCCAGATACAAAATGTATACCCTAAAGGCGCGTCCCCAATGACCCACCTCCTCCAGCCACACCCCACCTGCCTATAGTTAACACTATACATTAATCCCTATCAGAGGATTAAATCAGTGACTGGGTTAAGGCTCTCATAACTCACTCATTTCTCTACATTTTCTTGTATTATTGCACACATGAGCATTTAGAGGATACCTCATATCTAAACCATAACACTTGGCAACTTTCTTTTTTATATTCCTATTTAAGCATCAGGAGAATAAAGATTTTGTCATTTTTTTGTAATGATTATATCACATACTTCTTGAAAAGT